GTGACATGATAAAAATTGAATTGTTTTGAGTGTCTCATGTGAGGAAAAGGCATGTAACTCTTTTTAAATATAATAATATGAGTGTTACTCGCTTACGTGTCATTCTGCCTTATTTCTTTATAGAATTGGAGTTATGTATATATACTTGGTGTATGTATAATGACTTGTTATTGTGTAGGAAAAGGAATATAAAGATGTATTTCCATTACTATAATAACATCGTTGAGTAATTGAACTTCGTTGTAAATCTATTGGAGTTCTAGAAGAGCTAGAGTCCATGTAGGGAGAATAATCACTCTCCTTTATTTTGAAGTCTTATCACCCATGAAAAGTTAAAAAAAAAAAAGATGATAGGGAATTAACCAACTTTTTGTTTAGTTTTCCACAAATGACACCACTGATAAAGTCATGAAAAAGATTCACAGAAAAATATAGACTTTCCCAGGCTAAGGAATTATAAGTTTAAGTTGTAACTATAAAATAAGTCGCTTAAGGTACGAGAGACAATATGATACTTAAGTTAGTATTTGAGTTATTTTTTGAAGTGATAAGTAGGTACAAATTTAAGAAGATGAAAATGGTGTTTATATGCAAAGACGAGATATGTGTGTTCTTTATCTAGTTTAATGTGTTCTTTGTATAGTGAAGAGATAGTAAATTTAGTGTTCTAAGATGAATAATTCTTTAGATCTTTTTTTCTCTCTCTATCTCTCTTAAGATCAGAGAATATATATCTGGAAAATATCTATAGAAAATCAAGAGAAGTACTATTCATAAATAGTAATGAATAGCACCATGTAAATAGAATTTTCTATAATGTACTATTCATGAATAGTCAAACTAGGAGAGATAAAGTAGCTTGACCGGACCAAACCAACAAAAAAAAACAGAAAAAAAAAAGAGAAAGAGGAGAGGGGGTGGAGCTTGGTTTGATTAAGTTTGGGGACTCGAGACTCATTCTAAACAAGCTGTAAACATTATTTATGAATGGTAAATACTATTCATGAATAGTAAATGAGACTATATCAAGCTAAGGAATGAGAGAGAAATGGAGAGAGATGAAGTTTAGTTAGGCTACGACCCCAATAAGTTTTATAGGTCTCAATTGGACCTCAGCCTAACCATGTAGCTTTTTTTTTTTAATTTTTTTAATTGTATTATGAGATATATTGTTATGCTTCCAATATTATAAAAGTGTGAAAATTACTTTCTCTTGTTCATTAATGAATCTTTATCTAGTTTTCAAAGGGGTGAAGAAGAAAAATTATTGATTAAATGCCAAATTAAGCTTTATTAATAATGATGATTTTACAAAAAAGATTCTTTCTGAATTCACTATTGGAAAACTTCTCCTTTAAATTTATGGGTTTCATTCATAAAACTTGTTGTTACTCACTTTTGATCCAAAAAAATAGAAAAAAAAATCCAAAAATACAAGAAGAAAGCCTTAAAAGATTGCTTAAGTTGGTGATAAAGGACGAAGATCACAAGTGAAAAAATTAGAGTACCAACATATATAAGATTATCAAAATTGGTAACCTAATTTTAACTGACAAAAGGTTTTATTGGTGATTTTTTCTTTATTTGGGGTAAATAAATATAATTTTGAATAATTAATGTCTTAATGAGAATTCTAGAAGACTTATTTATTTTTATTGAGCTCTTGATTGGGAAAAAAATAAGTTTTTTGGGTATTAATTAAAAAAAACTGAAGTTTGGATATTAAAATTAGACTTTGAAAGATTTAATTGGTTAAATAAAAGGATTAATTGCAGTTTTCGAAGACCAAAGCCCAACTTGTAAGTAGCATGCAATTTTAATGCTGAGATCAGGGGGCTAAAATCAAAAGAAATTGAAATTTTAATGGTCAATTAATGATGAAATTGAACAAATTAAAAACCAAGGACCCGTTTGTAAAAGATATTAAACTGTGGGGCTAATATTTTGATTTGGAAAGGGTGTAATTGCATAAAATTAAAGGTTGAGAGACAATTGCAGTGCAATTAAAAGGAATTGAAAGAGGAGGGGTCAAATTGAAATTGATCAAATATAAAAATAAAAAACTCTAATTTCTAGGATTTAACCTAAACAATGTGTCATTCACCCACTATCCATCTCCTTCTTTGACAATTTTGGATGATCAAGTAAGAATTTTTAGACAAATAAATGTGGCGCCTCTGACCATTTCAAGAGTTGTAACCACCATTATTCAACTAAGAAACACTTCCTTTGCAATCTCATGCCCATGAAATTGGACATTTACACCCCAATTCTTCCATATAATTTTCTATTATCTTGTCCCTAATCAATATGTTCCACAAACTTTATTTGAGCATACGACCCATAATGAATTCAAAACACTATATTTATTTATGAGAATAAATCTTTATTCTAAACTATAGATACGCCATTGGTTAAGAACCCGTTAATATCTTTAAGTCACATTTAAACTACGCAATTCAGCTTATCTTAGGTACGGTACGCTAGTATTGCTAATACCTTTCATAGCACAACCAGTCATTTACCTTAGAATTTGATAGAAGACTAGTCCATCCAAGTCTTTTAGTGACCCTAAATCAAACAACTAGGTAGTGATTCTTTGATTATAACGCCTCAAACCCACTTGCAATAAAACTTAATATTTTTTGGTGTGTAAAAATATATACACACACTAAATAAAAAATTATTTTGAAAAGAATTTTTGATAAAATCAACATTATTATAAAAAAACTTTAAAACCAATAAGTTCTTGATGAATAATCCTCTAGATCTCTCTCTCTCTCCCTCAAAATCAAAGCATATATATATGAAATTATCTTGAAATTATCTATAAAAAATCAAAGAAAGATATTATTAATGAATTGTAATGAATAATAAAATGTAAATAGTACTATTTATCAAGAACTATTCATGAATAGTAAAATAATACGAAACAAATTAGGTTGGCCAAAACAAGCCAAGGGAAAAGAGAGAAAAGAAGGGGAGAGGTAAAGAGAAAGAGAGAGAGATGAGGGGGTAGAGCTTGGTCTGACTAAATATAGGGATTCGAGACTCATTATAAACAAGTTTTCTATAGTAAATATTATTAATGAATAACAAACAAGACTATACCGGATTAAATGATGAGAGAAAAATGGAGAAAGATGAGTTTGGTTAGGCAATAATCCAAACAAGTCTTCCAGGACTCGGTTGGACCTCGACCCAACCATGTTGCCTTTTATATATATATATATATAATTTTTTTTTGTATTATTAGATATGTTTTTATGCTTTCGAGATTATAAAAGTGCAAAAAATGTTTTTTCCAATCCATTAATAAATCTTTATCCAATTTATAAAAAGATAAATAAGAAAAATTATTGATTAAATGTCAAATTAAGCTTTATTAAAATGATTATTTTACAAAAAAGATTCTTTCTAATTCATTATTGAAAAATTTCTCCTTTAAACTGCATAGATGCCTTTAAAATGCAAGAAAAAAAAATGAAATGCTAAGAGAGCTTTTACATCATTTTCTTTCTTTAGAAATAATACATTTACTTCATTGTCCTTAAAGTCAAGAAAATTAAAGGATGGGTCAAAGGATATTTTAGTATTTTTCTTGTGGTTTTCTTGTGTTACTTTATTTGGATCAAGGACAAATTATTATTTTCATAAATAATAATAATAAAATAGGTAGCTCATGCTCTTACTACCTGCATGCTTTTGATGGCATGTGCAATGTCATCTGACCAAATAATTTTAGTTAGTATAAGTTATTTTGGATTTTTTTTTTAATTTTGTCTTTTGATATTGGGTTATTAGGTATTAAGATTTCTTATTTTTTATGATTTTTTTATAGGGTTATCTTAGGTTATAGGTTCGTTAGGTTAATATAGTGTGACTTGTGTTTTTTTTCAAATTTTTTTTTATTTAGCTTTGATCCTTTTTTTTAAGTTATTATTTTTTTTAATAATTTTTTATCTCAATCTCTTATCCTGGGTGGTGGGTTAATAAAGTGAATCTGGGTTGACTTAAATTTTTTTTTCTTTTATGTTTTTTTAATTTATTATTTGAAATTAGCTTTATTGAGCCTTGAACTTTCTATTTTTTCTCTTTTGAATTATTCGGGATCAAGAGTTAGTCAAATTCACAGGATTCATTCAAGTTATTATTGTTCATTTTTTTTATGTTAAAGAAAATTTAATTCTTAGGAGGGTGTAGTGTAGGAAAAAAATAAAATATAGTTTAATCTATAGTTATCAGACTCGACCCTACTCGACGGGTCAACCTGGAATCTTGGTTAGATCTATTTTATTGAAAATCCATGCCTGCAATTAGCCTAGAGAAATACAGTCGAGTTGCTGGTTCAACTCAATACCCAGACAACCTAATAAAACCTGGTAGATATTTGTTTTTAAATGTATATTCTTTTTCTAGTTAGAGGCCTTTTTTCTTTTTTCTTTTTCAATTATTTATTAAATTATTTCAAAGTTTACTATATAAATAATAAAAGATTATTTTATTTTTTAATGTGGGATGATTTAAATATTTTAACTTAAAAAAATAAGATAATATCTTTTTAATGTGATATAAAAAATCTTTTAAAATAATTTTTTAAATTTTATTATTTATAATATGAATAGCTTATATCTATACAAATTATTTTTTAATTTTTTATATAAAGTATTAAAATCTCAAAAAAATAATTTTATTTTTTTAAGTTGACTTAATAATTTTGGATACAGTCTCTTAACCAAATCAACACTGAATTGGATTTAATAACCATGGTTTAAGCTATTAATAAAGTGAAGGGTAACTTTAAAGAAAGGAAAACAGGTGATGGGTCAATGAAATGGATAAAGGTGGTCATATGCTAGTGATTAGTGAACAAGTGGTTAAAAACCTAAGAATACAAGCCTTTGCTTTCTCGAGTTTTACTTGTATAGTCACATTCTTACCGTTAAACAGAGAATTTACACCATTATGATTCATTAATCACATGGGACTGCCAAGAAGTCACAAATCAAGAAGTCTGATGTAATGAATAACCTTTGATCCTAATCATCCATTTCAACTTTTCGTATTGAGGCCCCACGTGTGGTTCATACACCATGGGTGGCACTTGCTACCAAAAATCTCTCGTTCTTACATTGCATAGAGATGAACGGGACCTGTAATTTGGTCATTATCATCAGATAGTTACGGGCTAGCTGAAAGAAATGTCACAAGCAGCAGTAAAGCCAGACGGGTCTGATCCTCCGGCAAGAAAATCTTGCATGTTTTACAAGTTGATGGTTGCTTCCATTCTCCAAGACAAAAAGCTGGTGAACTTTAATTTACTTTCTTGCTCTGTTTGCTTGTTTGGTTACAGAGAAAATGAAGAGAAGAGTTCTTGTGTTATTATAGTATTAGCTCCTATTTAGGTGCTCAAAATGTAGAAATCTGTTTGGCTTTTGAGAAAATTGCAGGAGTTCTAGTTTTTCAGTTGGAATCCAGCTTTGATTACCGACGACGACTTTTTTATTATCTTATTGCAAATTTTGCTTGATGATTTTATATCCTCGTGGGAGTTGAAAAGTTTCAAATTTGTTAACCAGGCAAGGTTGAAGAGAGAGTTGGAAATTAGCTTACTGTTAATGTCTTTACTCTTTTCAGATTGTTTTGACAGATAGTTTGAGTTGTGGATCATCGTTTGCCTTAGGGGTCTCCCTTTTCCTTAATTCTTCTGTATGTGGCCTTGAATGGTGTTATTTTTCATTTTCCTTTGTCTTTCTTTAGCCTTAATGTCTTGTTCTTTTTTCCTTTTTAAGGTATTTTCTGTGGTTTGCTCTTGTTTAATGTACAAGAGGATTCAATGTTTTGTTTGGCTTGAAAGAGAGCGCCTAGGTTGTCTTGAAAGATGGTGTCTTTGTTTCGAAATGTGACTTGATTGTTTATGCCAACAGAAGATACCAAAAAAGTTTGTCAACAAATATGGAGATGAACTTTCTTCCGTTGCCACACTTACTGTTCCCTGTGGTCGTATCTATCTAGTGGAACTGCAAAAAGTTAACGGCAGGTTATGGTTTCACAAGGGTTGGCATGAATTTGTAGAATGCTACTCCATTCGTGTTGGGTATTTCTTGGTCTTCATATATGAAGGAAAATCGAACTTCAATGTTCATATGTTTGATTTGACGGTTTCAGAGATAAAGAATCCATGTAGTTCTCTTAGTCAGTTGCAAGAATCCAGCCATGACAATCCATGTCTATTACCCCATGAGAAAGATGATGGCCTTGAAAAAATCTTGGGTTTCAGACCTCCATCTCCTAATGTCCTTTCCTCGATAACAAGCAAAAATTGTAATGAATATATCCATTGCAGCTGGATTCAATCTACTTCCACTGCTAGTCTAGAGAAGCCACATGTAAGAACAGATGCATACAACATGAGAGAGACCTTTCAATCTTCTCGAGACATAGGCACACAGTTTAATGGGATGGAGCTTACAAGTACCGAGGATGGAGCTGGTTCCATTATCCCAGGCATAACAAGAAAAACCAGAGGACGCAAACGGATGAGTGAGAATAGTAAGCATTGTTAACTTGCATTCCATCTTTATGATATATTCTTAATTGACGTTTACATTACTAGTTAGTTGAAGATGTTGATAAAAATGAGTCACTAGGCATCCAGAATGTGAAACTAAAGTCGACCCATGTAAGAAATACTTCTGAAGCTCTTACAAGGAGGCGGAGAGCCGTAACACCAGAGGAAAAGGAAAGGACAATTCGTGCAGCTCACATGTTCAGGTCTGATAATCCTTTTTTCCGGGTTATCTTGCGGCCATCTTACGTATATAGGGGATTTCTTCTGGTAAGCCCTTGGACTGGATTGTTTAAAATAATCCCAAATTTCATTTGTAAAGAATGTATATGAATTTTTGATTGTTTTCTTTTACAGCACATCCCATCCAGTTTTGCGCGGACCTTTTTGAACACGGTTACAGGATTTGTCACACTTCAGGTTTCTGATGGAAAACAATGGCCTGTCCGATGCTCTTTCAAGGATGGTAAAGCAAAGTTGGGCCAGGGGTGGACGGAATTTGTTTGGGAAAATAATTTGGAGGAAGGGGATGTTTGTATCTTTGAGTTGATTCATGCAAAAGAAATTGTGCTGAAAGTTGCTGTATTTCGAGTGCTTGAAGATGCAGCACCAACTTGCCAACTTGCAAATTAGATTCAGTCAGACAAAAACTAATCATGGTTTTTGTAGGAAGTGAATTGTAAAACATCAATCAGGTGTATCTCTCTTCGTGTTCTATTAGTTTGTTAGCCTTTGTACATTCAGCTGGAACCTGATGCTAACTTCTTTCCATGCATATTGCCAATGTAACATGATTGATCTCTTATCTGCTGGCGTGATAATAATTTCATAACTAGCACATAAAGGGCTTTTTTCTTTTCTTGTTTGTAATCCCAAATAATGTGTGGCTATCTGCAGGGGTTTACCGCACTCAATTCTAGCGATGTGATGGCATTCAAGCTGCCTTGTATCTGTGCATAGCATGACTGCTTTGTAAATTATAAAGAGTAATTATCAGCTTATGGTTTCATGTTGTAGAAAACACAAGCAACTCCCTTGTATTGTTTTCGTGTCATGTGGTGGGGGAAAAGAGTTATAACTTTTCCTTAACCAACCGGCCGCAATGCAATCTTGTTCTCAATTCTCAGCATCTAGTGTCGAAGTTAGGTCATCTGAAAACCATCATTGCTGTTCTTCGGTTGGATGGAAAGGTTTGTAGCTTAAAATCAGAATTGTTGCGTTGGCAGCAAACACTTGCCCTCGGACACCTATTTGATATTGTGGTTATATTTGTTTTTCAAAGTGTTTTTACATCAAATAATATATTTTTTTGCCCTAGAGTTGATTTGTAATTGCGTTTAATCACTTCTACTTTGCGTGCAATTTATCCTAGAGTTGATTCAAAATTCAATTTATCTGAATGAGGCAAGTCAAGAACTTCGTGCTTTGTGTGCAGTTTGTCCTAGAGTTGATTTGTAATTGCGTTTTTCTCTAGAGCCTTTTTCCCATAAATTTTTTTTCTGTGATTTCTTTTTACCGAGAGTTCCTGCTCGTAAATGTTGTAAGGGTATCTATTCTTAAATTAGAAGTGGTGGTGGTGGTGGTGATTATATTATCATTTTCTTTCCTTTCTCCTGCACCCACTAGCTTAGCGGGGAAAAATATTTTAGTCAACCTTTTTAGTGTTCTGTCTTGATTCTTTAACCAAGATCATCAATGTGCCTCATTATTTATATAGGTAATTATCATTACATGGACACTCGGACTTAGCCTAGAGAATCACGGAAGATACTGGACTTCAAATGATTTCCAGAGAAGACGAAAAGGTGGTGGAAATCTGGATCAATCCGAAGAAGAAACATGCCAAAAACTGCTATTGTTATCGAATATCGAGCATGAAGGCAGCAAGCCCAAGGCACTTCAGACAGCTTCGATCCTCAAAAACTATAATTTCATAATGTGAACATTCAACTAGCCACCATTCCAAATAAGAAAGAAGTTTTGAAAAACATTATCTCATAGACTCAAATCATTGCCAACCACGGTGGGCAATGATTTCAACAAAACTTTGTCGTCATCACACTTTCAACGACGGTTGAATGATAGAACTTACTTCTAAAACAACATCTTCAAGCCCTGCAACATCAAACAACAATACCTGAAAAATAAATGGATGTCCCACCAACATGACAGCTCTAAATAACAGCCAACAGAAGAAAAAATGGCTGCCGAAAGGATTGTTTCTAAGGGGCACCAAACACATCACATAAGAATCTGAATTTTAGAGAAAGAAAGTGCAAATCAACGAGTAGGCTTATCACCAGTGCAACGTTACTATTAGCTTCACAATTAAGGAGACCTAGCTATAAAGTCATATTTATATTATTCAAAATATTATTTTATTAATTTATCTATCTTTGAAGATACTATAATTACAGCCCCGGGCCTCTATGAATCATTAGTGGTGGCTCTAAAGCAAATAGAGGGCATATATAATGAGAGAACTAAAAATAAAATAAAATTATTTTTTAGTTTTGTTTTCTTGATATTACATCTCTAATGGGAAAGCCAAATAAAAAATCAAAACGGCTTTTTTGTGAAAGAAAAATCATTCCTGCATGTCTATCAAAAAAATTTAAAATATTAAAATAAATTATTTAAAGATTCATTGTTTCAATTTTTTTTAATAGTTTTTTCCTCGACAAAGCCAAAAGTATCAATATTAAATAAATTAAAATATAAATAGATTGTCGGAATAGTTTTTTTCCCATTGCAGTGCATATAATAATAATAAAATTATATTTATGCCATTCAAAAAGTCATATCAACCATTTGATTCTTCTTTTCGTCATTGAAGATGCTCCAAGTTATCAAAAGTATGGACTGCATTCTGCAAGGAAAATGCGAGGGAAAGAATAATGTTCTGAAAATTACAATATTTCATGCAGATGAAGATGGTGGATCTTTGAATTGACATCTCAAAAAAAATGATGCATAGAAATAAGTCTAATGTATTAGATATTTGAATATTTTCTTAGTTCAAATAATTTGATCAATTCTTCCTAGTTGAGGTGTTTGGTAGCTGTGGTAGTAGGTAGTATATGATGAGACAAATTACTGAAATTATATTAGTAGTGGATGGTGCCTGGTGAGCCAAGTAATCAATAGTTTTTTATTTATAAAAGGTACCTTTTAATGGATGCGGAGACTCTCCGATGATAAAATCAATAACTTTATGAAGAGAGAAAATAAAATGATATTTTAGAGAGATAAACTCTAAAAATATATATGCTAAAAATATTAAGAATAAAGGGATTATGAACTTTTAACTTGAAAGATTTATGGTATATTATACCCCATGAATCTTATCATTTTTATGGAGAGGAGAGGTTGTAGTGTAATTTTATCATTGTGATATTTTGAGTTGTATTATACTCAAAATAATACATATTAGATCAATATAAAATATTAAAGGACTTGTGTGGGGTCTTGAAAAAATCCCTAAGGAGTGTTGGTCTCGAGCCTATTAGATATGAAAAATAGGTCAAAATAGATGTTAGGCTCAAGGTACGCTTTCTAGCTCGAGCATATTAGGCTCAAGCATGGAATCCCAAACACACAAGGGTGTTAGGATGCACATATAACACCAAAGGTGCTAGGCGTGTCATGTCAAACAAGTTGTGAATGTCATACCTATATTAGGTGTGTCGACACGCCCAATATAGGTGTGTGCTTTGCATGCCTGGTATAGACTTGGGCTTCTTGCTCGAGCTCATGCCCTCTAGGGAGTTGAGCTCAGGCTACTAAGCTCCCTAGGTGTTGGGCTTGGGCTACCACACCTAAGTCCACTTTCTTTGGGAGCCCAAGCCCACTTTCTTTGGACCTCTTACTATATATTAAGCTCAGGTTACCAAGCTCGAGCCTACTATGTGTTCTTTTTCCCTATTTTAGAGCATTTTTGGGATCCATTTCGAGGGGTTTTTTTGTTCATTTTATTTGGATCCATCAGCAACCCTTCAAATCTTTGTGGTATTAATTTATAAATACATGTAAAAATACCTGGTTATCATAATAAGTTTGTCAAATTCTCTTTATATGAGAAGAGTAGTTGAAACTTTATGTAATAAATAGGAGAGCCACTGTGTACGAGTATGCACAATGTTTGAAAAAATTTCTAAATATGTATAAGGGAGCCATGAAAGAACTTACATTTATAAAAAAATTTCAAATGGTGAGGTGAGATGTAAAAGACTCCATACTTAGAATATTTTTCTAAGATGTATGAGAAATTTATGAAGAAAAACTTATACTTAGAAAAATATATAAGTGGCTGATGAAAATTCATAGAAGGTGAGCTTATGCTTAAAAAGTATTCTAAATGATTGAGAGAAACCTAAGAAGGGTGGCCTTTGGTGATGTTCATTCTTAGAAATCTTTTTTAAAATCTGAGAGGAACTCAAGGAAGGTAAAAGTGACTATTGGAGACACTTTTATTTAGAAAAATTTATAAAAAGACCGAAAGGAACCTAATAAGGGTGACCTCTGGTAATACCCTTACTTAGAAAATTTTCTAAAAAGCCGAGGAGAACCCAAGGAGGATGACCCCTAATAATACCTCTACTTAAAAAAATTTCTTAAAAGCAAAGGGGACAGATCTATAGAGAGTGATTTTATTGCAATAGAAAAACTATGTTTATCCATTAGAGAGTGGTCGTATTGACGTGCAAGAAGTACGTAACCTCGTTATGATAACATAAGGCATAAAGGAAGGTTATGGCTGTCAGCAGGAGTGTTCAAACAAACAGGTTCATTTGATGGGAATCGAGCTTAATCTAATGTGGATATTACAAATGATAATGGGTTAAATAAATTAAGAAATAGATATTACGGGTTGAGTACTGGTGATCAACTTTACCTAGCTCATAAATTTTATATATTTTTTAATTTGTATATTTAATAACTTGTGGATTAAGTATTTATTTTTAAAAAATATTTAGGTTTCAAAATTCTTTTTAGTAATCTTCCTATTAAATTAAAAAAAATGATTTTTTTTTTTACGGGGAGGTGGAGATAATTAGAATTTAAAAGTGGTTTAAGTTATGAAAATTATACTTAACATTGGAGGGATCATCACTCCTGGGTCTTTTCTCAAATGATATACATAAAAATTAACAATATAAGCTCAAAAATATATATAACATCCACATAAAAATTTAGCCTAACTTAATATATTTATCTTGTTCGGATTTAATTTCTTTTTAAAAAAATTAAACTTATAATGTATAAAATATCAAAAATTAAGTTTAATACATCCATAAATAAAAATCGACCTACCTATATTCATCAATATCCATACTTGTAGTTGACAATAGTTTCTGAAAACAACACATGAAGAATTATAATGCTAGCTTTTAAAGCATTATCAAACATTTAAAAACCAAAATTATAAACAAATTAATGATTACCGGTTTCCCTCTCATATAATTAAATGATAATTAATTGTGATGTATATTTCATGCATACTGAAAATTATACTATGCTGCAACTAGACAAAACCTAAAACTCAGCTTGATCCAGTTTTTAGTTCAAGCTTGACTTGCATTGAAGTGGTCCTAACGGTCCCAATTTTCCACTGTGATTAAGACAGTTGATGCATGAAACATCTTTCTTAGCTGTATTTGTCATGATCCCAATTTTCCACTGTGATTAAGATAGTTGATGCATGAAACATCTTTTTTTTTTTAGATTAACGTGGGTGTCCGGGCCAGCTTCCGCGCACCACGACTAATCCCACGGGCCCTGAAGTTAACGATCATGTAAGCCTCCAGTGGCCATCATATGAGTAACCAAGGACTCGAACCTGAGACCATAAAGAAAGCAAATCCCTTAGTTTCAAGTTTTTATCACTTGGCCACCACCTAAATGGTTATGAAACATCTTTCTTAGCTGTATTTGTCTTGGGGGTTCCAATATTTTGGACACAATTTCTTAGAGAGGCCCTATTATGTGACAATGATGGTCCATAAAGAAACTAATAGGCCGGCCTGCTAATTGTAAATTTTGTTGAATGAAAAGAAGGCAGCGTGAATCTAGATGATTTACGTGTCATTGCATGCTGAAATTCCTAGCCCACCAAACATAGTTCAGAGTTATTATAATAAAAAACTTGTTGCAACGGTAATAATATTGTCACAGTAGCAATTTGCCTAAGATTACGGCAATGGCTCCCCGGAAGGAAGTGCAGCCAACCAGGAGTCTTCAGGCGGATCAGAGACCGTTGTGGCATTTCTTCAAGATAATCACTCAGAGTACCTTAAAAGATAAGAAGCTGGTAACTTTGATTTGTTGTATTTTTACCACTTTTGATTGCATGCATGCGATAGTTAGGGATTCCTCTTCACTTGATCCGTAAAATCTATAGCTAACTAGTAATTGTCTTTTATATTTATTCTTCCCGATGAACATTTTTTATGTGTTGCATGATTGAAGTTAGAAATGAGATAAATTGGAATTTGGCTTTGCATGAAGCAAAAAGTAAAGTCTTGTCATTCTTGAAAAGCTTTGTCCTTTTCATGAAAGTTCCAGATTTAAGTTAATTTCTAGCAAATTATCTTGGTCACTGCTGGGCCAGAAAGGATCTTTTTTTCCTTTTCTTTTGTGTAGAGTGGAAGAAATGTTCTTTTCTATTGAGAAAAGGCCTTTTCAGGGCCAATAAGTTGTGCTGATAAAGATTGAATGTAAGTGACAAGCCAGGATGCATGTGACTTTTGAACTTCGATTTCAGTGACTTTAATTTGTTGATGCTATAAAAGCTACAGAGGGGCAACGATGAAAGGCTAGATGTTTCAACTTTAACTGAAACATCTACAGAATAATAGTTACCGCTCTTGTATTTCCAATCAGTGTCAGTCATCTATTTTTTCTGAAATGAGATAGTTCTTGGTTTATGAAAAATGAAAGTAATGACTGTGTTGCAATTATATAGAAAAAATTTGTACATGGAACATTTGATCTAACTTTAATTTGAGTATCTGCAGAGGATTCCAAATAAGTTTGCGAGGAAATTTGGGGAAGAACTTTCTGATGTTGCTAAAGTTGTTCTACCTAATGGCCATTCCTGGCAAATAGGATTAACAAAAGCCAACAACAGCGTTTCGTTTGATGATGGTTGGCTACAGTTCTTAGAGCACCATTCAGTCTGTTATGGGCACCTTTTAGTTTTTGGATATAGAGGTTGTTCTAATTTTAATGTTCTCATATTTGATAAGACTGCATGTGAGATTCCGTATCATAGATGCAGGGGAGGGACTGGTGGTGGAAAGATCAATTACGATGAAAAATGTTCACCATATGATCTAGATGTAATGAAAGATGAAGGTACAATTGAAAGCATCGATTCCCAATATTTTTGTGCACTGGAAAGTGGAGTTTCTGATGAAGATGCAGGGGAATCAAGACAAAGGCACCCATCTAGGCCTCCTCCATCAGAGAACAATGCCCAAGAGAGGCCATGTTTTGAATGTTCCGGTGACAAAAGAGGCAAAATACCTGTGAAGAAAGAGCATATTGTTGTGGCCGAGTTAGATGATACTGATGAATCAAAGAGAAGGAAGCTGTCTAAGAAATGTAGGTTTCCTAGGCCACATGGATCCTTGATAGATGAAACCAAGGTCAACAAGGGCAAATCTAAAACTAAATTTGGTATGCTCTTTCATGTTATTTGGATATCATTTTATGATCTGGTATAACCTTTTTGTTTCCGATTGCTAGCTCCATCATATGCAGATGAAATTGATTTTTCACCGCGATGTGGAGAAGACACGGACATCATTGTTTGTGGATTTGCGAAGGCTTCAGAAGAAAGCAAGAAGGCAATTCATGCCGCCAGAATGTTCAGGCCTAAAAATCCTTCTTTCATGGTCCTGTTACGGTCATACAATAAGTGTTTCGTGGTAATCTCATAAATAAGATATGTTCATCAAGTTTACAAGTTACACATTCACTTCTTGATTCTTCTTGTTTTGTGTAGGCTGTGCCGGCTGAATTTTCTAGAAGACATCTAAGTGGAGTTTCAGAACATATTAAACTTCAAGTTTCTGATGGAAGACAATGGCCTCTTCGTCTCAATAAAACACAACGTGCCCGCATGATTATCTCAAGGGGATGGAATGAATTTAAAAGGGAAAACAGCTTGAAGGAAGGAGATGTATGTGTTTTTGAGCTGATCAAGAACAAAAAAATTTCACTACAAGTTTCAATGTTCCGTGCAGTTGATGGCAGCGGGCCTTCAAATTGACTTGCAGTGTAAGAGCAACTGCTTTTATAATTTCTCCATTTCCTATTCTTAATTTGCAACGAGGCTACACCATTATCAGGTTCCTAATTCTGTTAGGTATATTGTTTGTTGACAAAGCTCAAATTTTGGTCTCTTTGCAAATGCTATAATGCAGACATAACAATGGCAAACGTTACAGATTTGTTTGAAATTTCCAGACTATACTCAGTATCATCAATGACAGGAAATTAAAGTATTATAGTTTGTAGGAATTACAGCTTTCAAGCTTTTATTTTGTTGGCAATCAGATAGTACTTAATTATACTTGTCGATTCAACTTATATTCAAGCTTTCAATGCAGACATAACAAGCTTTTATTTAATTATACTTGTCGATTCAACTTATATATGCCTTCTCTTGGATGATTCTTTGCTTTCTATGCAGCTTGGAGGCACATAAAAACACCCAGTGGAAGCAAACACAAAAGTGGTATGCCTTCTCTTGGATGATTCTTTGCTTTCTATGCAGCTTGGAGGCACATAAAAACACCCAGTGGAAGCAAACACAAAAGTGGGAAACTCTATCAGAATTTCTCGTGTCCTGTAATGTATAAATAAAATGTACAGAAAAGCTTTTTGAAACACTCTCTCTAGCAGTGCACTGGTGCTCAGTGCGCAGTTGCTAGATGAATGAACTGTGCATGTATGATACTCTCTTTTAAGGTTTATTTCCCCTAAATGCCAGAGACTACTGGCATCAACGTTCTGAAAATGCGAATCCAAACCTGATTACCTTGTGTTATGTGAACAATGGTAATGTGCGTTGGTTCTACCCTGCTGTAAATTGCTTTGAAAAAACTTATCTGACCGGTCACCTCTGGAACACGTTTTTTGAGAATATATTACCAATAACTAAAACGGCCAGTGTTTTGTATGGGTTTTGTAAAACGCTGAGGTTTTTTTTTTTTAAAAAAGAATTTGTTTTTAA